GACCCCCCCCCCCCCTCTCGCTACGGCCCTGAGCTCTGTTTCTTTAGAAACTTTTCGGAAGATGCTTTTGCTAATCATTATTTTATTATTATTATTACAACATTTTTATACACTGTAACTAATCAACCATATTACCTATAAGTATTTACAAAAATCATAAAGGTTGTTTTTCATTAGGTCGTGTTACTAAATACAAATTAAAACTCGAAATACTATTATATAAACTATTATAAAAATATTAAAAGATATCTATGTTATTTACCGGCTGCGAGATCCGGATGAGAAAAACTGTGCCCGAGGTCTTGAAAACGGCCCGAGCCCGAAGGGCGATGGACGTTTTCAAGACCGAGGGCACAGTTTTTCTCATCCGGACCACAGAATAGCGTAACTCAAGCAAGTATTTGTCCGCGTTTTTGCAAGCGATTCGTCATCAATCACGCCATCCTGGCTAGTACAACCGGCACTTTGTACCTACCAAAACCTGATAAAAACTTCCGGTTGTACTAGCCAGGATGACGTGGATTGGCGTGAGCGAGTTAAAATTTTCGTGGACGTCAAACAATAAGGGAAACGACTAGAGTTACGCTTCTGCCACAGATTAAGAGGACCTCTTAATCTGTGCTTCTGCTATAACTTCCTATTCTGTGTCCGGACCGACGCTGCCGGTAAATAACGTGTTTATTTTTTATCAGCAGGGTTGCCAGTTTGGCGTTAAAAGAGCCAAATTTCTCGATTTTGGCTTCTTCTGACTTCGTTTGGCTACTAAAAATTTCGTTTGGCTTCTTTCTATTTTTTGGCTCTTTTTGGCTTCTTTTTGAATAAATACTGAAATAAGCAACTTTTCAAAAAAATAGTCTGCCATCTATCAGTAAAAGTTAGTTATAAACTCTGCTATGTTTGATCACATTATCTGGGATTCCGGATGTACGTAAATATCCGAATTAGTACCCTTTCCCGGGGCTTACGCGGTTCGCCACTTCGCTTCGAACGGCGCAATCTAATTCCCCGACCCTGCGATCCTTGGGAAGGAACGTGAGGCTCTGGGATAATCCGTTTCAAGGAGGAATCTGATTGGCCGTTGAAATGGAATGCGCAGTTCAATCTTAGCCAGGATTCCTGGCTTCCGCCAACGGATTATCCCAGAGCCTCACGTTCCTTCCCGAGGATCGCAGGCTCGGGGAGTTATTGGGGGAATTAGATTGCGAACGGCGGGAAAACGAAAATTATAAAATACTCGTTTTTTCTTTAATACTGTTTTTCGATCCGTAGTTGACGAAGTTGGAATTCTTAGTCACTGTGTCAAATATAAATGTATTAGCGATCTTGGCTTCTTTTGGCCAAATTTGGCTACTTTTTACGCATCATTTGGCTCTTTCGGGCTCAGACCACCTGGCAACCCTGTTTATCAGATGCATAGTCAGATGTAAAAATTAAATTGATTAAAATTCCAGTGTTGCTTGCGAACTAATTTGAGATCAGTGCAGTTGTGTATTTTCAAAGCGAGGCCGACAAAAATTGAAAAGTTAGAAGATATAAAACACGAATACGAAAACTCGAGAAAACTGGCAAGAAACACACAAAAAGACGTATAGTTTCAGTAAAAATATACATGCTTTTTTCATGAATATGGTAGCGGAGAAGCTTTGGAATAAAAACTTTTATGCCTGGCGTTTTGGCTTTGACTTTGACAAGTTGCTCCTGACAACGACAGGTTCATGTTCAGATCCGATCAAAAACATATAAAAATGAATCTGTTTTGATTTAATTAACGTTTTTCTACTAAAAGGGCAGTGGAAAAGGTATGTTATTTTTATATTTTTGTATTTTTTCTTGTCGTTTCACGATAATATGCTTGAAAAAGTGTTTTTAAACACAAACGTTTACTTTGTTTACAATATTTATATCAGTGAAAAATACATGACACAAATGGATAGAGAATATATTCGTGACTTGTTTTCACTGCTGCAGTTAAACCTTTTTTTATAAATGGGAAAACATTTATTTTACAATATCTGTTTAAGCTGTAATTTTTTCGCTTTTAAGTGGCCGAATAGATGAGCATTTAAAAAATATATAGTTTTCTCGACGTAAGTTTTATACATGTCAAATACTTTCCCACTTTCAGTCGCATTTCTATCAAAATATTGTCAATTCTCGCGAACATCGTGCTTAGTATGAAGCCTTTAGGGCTTGATGCAATTCATTTTCGTATTCTGACTATCATTAGGCTATGTTTTTCAAACGTTTTGGGCAGATTTTTTCGTTTAAAAATTGTTTCACTCCTCAGTTTTTGCCGCGAAAACCAGAGCGGGCAGTTGCATTTCACAGCGGGCAGTTGCGTTTCAGAGCGGGCCGGATGCAAAAAACCGGCCCGCTCTGAAAGGCTCCTCAGCCAATCAGATTGCTTCATTTTCACTGATAAAAAATAAACTAAGAAATGTTTGGGTCGAAGTGATACGTTAAATATATATTTACAAATGAATTAAGTAGATTTAAAACTTTTACTATTATAGTTCCAGTCTTTTATAGCAGCAGCATATCCGAAAGTCCTTTTCATTGAATTTGTTTTAGGCTTCGACAACATCAGCATCTTGTTATTGCTTCTTAAATTATATTTATCAGAATTAGAGATTTTAAACATAGTTAAGGTAATTCCGCAGTTTTGCATTGCGCACTTTTACTGCGCACATCTTATAACTTATAATTTCATCCATTATACGTACCGTTTAAAAAAATATCATTTTATGACAATTTTATGTTACTTCAAAACATCTTTGGTTACATTCGTGCAAAGAATTACGTTAAAATCAATGTTTTCAAAAAAGGCATACAATAGTGTAGCTAGGGTCCCTTGTGTCTGTAGTATATTTATTTACTTGTATTTCACGTTTTAATGCCACAATTCCCTAAAAAGATCGGTGACCCCCGTTTTTTAACTGATAATTTATTTCTTTAATGCATTTTACATTTCATATCCGAAATTAAAAGAAAAATCATTTCTGGATCTTGAAAAAAAAAGCTTTATCAATGCATGTTCTCAAAGAAAGATATGTAAAGAAATGTGCAAAAGACATTTGTGAATCAGAATTGTACACGTTTGTAGTTTCATTTTGCTCAAAACACAATAATTTTTCAAACATAATTACAAGATAGGTTTACTAAAGCAAAATCCGCGCTAAAAACGTCAATAAATATCGAGCTGTTGTGAGTTTGCTGTTACTCGTAATGAGCGTCAAGATGGCGCCATATTGGGGGTAAAGGTGGTATATTGTGATTGTCATATCTTCGTAACGAGTTCGGTGACCCCGACTTTTTTGTGTGATTTTACTTTAAATATATCATAAACTCCATGCCTGGGAAGTTTCAGCACATTCTCATTTCGGGAATAATTAATGCGGAATTACCTTAAACCGTTTTCAGGACATTGGTTTGAAAGGGCTTTGGCCACATATGCTAATTTTTGCTCCATTCTTCTCTCTTCGAGTGTTCTCCAATTTAATTTCTTTAAAATATCAGTAGAGCGAATTTCATAGGTATCACCTGTGATTACTCTAGCTGCACGGTTTTGTAGTCTCTGTAGCTTCTCTTTTGAACCTTCGCCACAGTTTCCCCAAACCATGGAGCAGTAATCAAAACTCGGTTGCACTAAAGCCTGATAAATATATTTAAGAGTCTCAAAATAAACAAATGGCTTTGCACGGCGCAGCATACCAATGCTAATCTTACTATGATAATAAATTCTAGCGAGGTTTAAACTAAGGAATGTCAACAAGACAAGATCAAAGCCTGTTCGATGCATGTGTAAGAGGGGATCTTCACAAAGTACGAGAGATCTTGCAAAAGGACTCGGATATCATCAACAGGTTGGATCAACATATCGGTCTCTTTGGCGACACTCCATTGCACAAAGCTGCATCTCAGGGTCATGATGATATCTTACGACTGTTGCTTAACTATGGTGCCAGTGTGGACGCGGTGAACGAGCTGGGTGATACACCATTGCACGAAGCTGCATCTCAGGGTCATGATTATATCTCACAACTGTTGCTTAACCATGGTGCCAGTGTGAACGCGGTGAACAGTGATGGTTATACACCATTGCACGAAGCTGCATCTCAGGGTCATGATTACATCTCACAACTGTTGCTTAACCATGGTGCCAGTGTGAACGCGGTGAACGAGCTGGGTGATACACCATTGCACGAAGCTGCATCTCAGTTTCATGATTTTATCTCACAACTGTTGCTTAACTATGGTGCCAGTGTGAACGTGGTGAACAGTGATGGTTATACACCATTACACGACGCTGCATCTCAGGGTCATGATTATATCTTACAACTGTTGCTTAACCGTGGTGCCAGTGTGAACGCGACGAACGAGGAGGGTTATACACCATTGCACGAAGCTGCATCTCAGGGTCATGATTATATCTTACAACCGTTGCTTAACTATGGTGCCAGTGTGAACGCGAAGAACGAGGAGGGTTATACACCATTGCACCTCGCTGCATTTTGGGGTCATGATGATATCTTACAACTGTTGCTTAACAATGGTGCCGATGTGAACGCGGAGAACAATGAGGGATATACACCATTGCACCCCGCTGCATCTCGGGGTCATGTGAAATGCATTAAGGTTTGTTTCTCTCGTGAGATAGTCAATGTTCAGCAGCTCAATTAATCCTCGCAATTTTTGGTAGAAATAGGCAAAGAGATAATGCCGCTGAAAACGGAATAAACAATATCAGGTTTATGCTAATACATAGCAGGGACGTTGGTACGATGTGAGTTGGGGGGGGGGGGGAGATTTTTGTGGTAGGACCCTCTTCAATGGGTTCATAATTTGTAATTTTTGCCTGATGAAGCGAACATGTAATGATTTTTTTATCTGAAATATTTCCCGAATATCAAAAAGGGCATGTTTGTCCGCCTTGGGAAAGACAATGCCCTCCCCTGCACTCCCTCTCCAGCGTCCCTGTTTTTTGTAATGATATTTGCAGAGCTCATGTTTCGCTCGCTACTCTGGTTTAAATAAATTATCATAAAGCCCAGTCGAATTGTAATCAAGACCCAACGTTTCGACACTCTAGTCTAGTGCCTTTATCAGGGGTGATCTAAAGTTGCAATCGTGGCTTCTTAAATACCCAAGGGATGACGTCACCTGCTAATGCGATGCATGTATTCCTCTTGCAAATAGTTACCGTCATCCCTATTCAAAGCATGATTGCTCATATTTATATGGCACGCTTTTATTGATCATCCCTGATGAAGACACTAGACTGGAGTGTCGAAACGTTGGATCTTGATTACAATTCGACTGGGCTTTGTAATTATCTATTTAAACCAGAGTAGCGAGCGAAACATGATTGATATACCTGGTTGCAGTGAACGAACAAACTTGAAATTTGCAGAGCTGTCAATTCCAATGGTCTCCTGGTTTTAAGGCAGCTGAAGGTATAATGCAATCAGCAGCGTAGCCAGGATGACGATTTAGTCACGCTATGCAAATATTTTCGTGTTCATTGACTGTGAAAACAATCAATTTCTAAAGAAATGAATAATGATAATAATCTTGAATTTGCATAGCGGGGCTAAATTGTCGGGCTGGGTACGCACAGATTTGTGAACTAGCCAGTCACTAGGTAAACATTTGGGTTTTTTCCAATTAATGATATCCTGTATAATTCTTGTTTAGTTGTTGTTGAAATATGGTGCAAACGTCAAAGCAATGGACGATTTCGGTAAAACTCCGTATCAAATTGCAATGGAGCGCAAACATAAAGAATCTGCCGAGTGTTTAAGAAATGCAGGTATTTATAAGGAGGTTGTTGGTTATGTGAACCAGGGCGGATCTACCAGTGCGGTGCTCACCCCTCCCACCTCCCCCCAATTTAAGCCTGGTTCACACTGGTCGTAATGCATCGGCGATCTATTGTATTCTTTTCCGAAAGACAAAGCATTTTACACACCAATGACCACAGACAATGGAAATCCCCGATTCTTACGACCAGTGTGAACCAGGCATTAATCCCGCTATGCAAATTCTTGTCTTTTGATCTTATTTCTGACCCCCCCTTACGCAATTGATTAATCTTTCTCTCACAATCGGGGTCTTCCTTGACAAATTGAAGATTGCTAAAGTTATTCCGATTTATAAAGCAGAAAACCGTGAAAATGTTTCAAATTACAGTCCTATTTCTCTGTTGACCAACTTCCCCAAAATTTATGAAAGAGTTATGTCTAAACGCCTAATTACTTTTTTTGAACAATATGAAATTCTATATTGTTACCAGTTTGGATTTCGGAAAAACCACTCGTCTTCAATGGCTTTAATGCATTTAGTCAACAAAATATCCTCAGCCATCGTAAAGAAACAACTGTAAGGGTCTTTTTGGACTTATTTAAAGAGTTTGACACTGTTAGCCATTTCGAAGTTGATGAGAGGACTGGGGACGAATGTTAAGAAATGACCAAATTAAGAAATGAACCAAATCACTAAAAAGACCAATCTCGTTCCCAGCTGGGGCTGGTCACATGGCACGCAGATTCTGCATGCTAAAATAAAATTTGTCTATGGGTAGGGTGGTAGAGGAGTGGTTTGTCGTGTTTGGGACATTGCAACTTATGTGTTCTAATATGTTTATTAAAAATTCTATTTATCATGACCGACTTCCTGCTATATCAATGTGATCAATTGCAATATTGAGTGTTGAGATACATTTCAAACAAAAAGCTGAATCATATTTCAATTGCAAGGAAAGAACACCACACGCTACGTACAGCTTGCGAAGTTCACTTGAGCACGCTTCATCGTAGAAGCTACTGATTTTACACACCGACTGATCGATCAAACGAACGACGTGGTTGTTAAATTGAAGTGTATCCTATCCGATATTCAAAACGAGCGGATTTTTTTTATAACGAGATCCTTTGTTTCCAAAACATCGCGAACTGTTTGTAAACAATGCTACTGTATTTTGACTTATGAAAGTACAGGATTAAAACCCGCGTTCTTATGGACTCTAAAATTACTTGCATTGACATTGCTGAAACTCAACCAACAAGAATTATTTCGAAGTATAGCTATCTGTTTTCACCAGTGAACTCTAATCTCTATTGGTTATCTCATGAACGCCATTCGTTTACGCCAAGACTTGCCAAGACTTCTCCGTGCGTGCTATACGGTACAACTTGAATATTTAATACGGGATACATATAAGCATCAGACACAAGTATTTTATAGTTAACAAATATAAAACATTTTCCGTGTTGATATAGAGTTATATCAACACGAGTGGAATTGGGAAAACGAGAAATTGTATGGAAACACGACGCCCGAAGGGCGGGGTGTTTTCATACAATTTCGAGTTTTCCCAACTTCCACGAGTGTTGATATAACTATATATCAATACGGAAAAATGTTTTATATTTTTTTTATAATATAGCAATGTCAGAAGCCCGAAGGATGAGAAAATTTCCGTGTTTACGAGCGGCGGAAAATTTCCCGTGTTGACATTGAGTTATATCAACACGGCTCTCAGCCAATCAGCGTTCAGAATTTACAAATGCTATATTATAATTAATTGTAGTTTACAGGTAAAAATTATTTTAATCTGGCCGATGAGAAAGATCGTAACTTTATCTTTTATGACTATTACAACCATATATGGAAACCTGGCTTAAAACTGTTGCATACAACGTGCTTACAACTTGAGTTGTACTGTGTAATTAGAGATGTGTTTAGCTTACATGATCAGATTAAAACATATCAAATGCCGTTATGAGAGATAGGGCAAGCCAGCCCGGCTACCAAAGCTGGCCTGGTTTCGGTGAAATCTTGCTTTTGTTATTATGTCCTACTACATTTCATTTGGCCATCCTAAGCGAAATCCCGCCTCGACTGACCCGAGATCTAGGGTGCCCAGGGGAATTTTCCATACAAACACAATGACCCGGGCTTGGCTAGCAATGACCCGGGCTTGGCTCGCAATGACCCGGGCTTGGCTCGCAATGACCCGGGCTTGCTCTGTTCAAGAATATATTGTTGTACATGAGATTTTCTCGTCAGATTTCGATCTTAAAAGGTCTCTGTGAACGATTCTGTGGGTTACACAGTAACCGTGAAAGTTGCTCGCAAACGTGCAAATTTTAGGTTCATGAGAAAATATATTTCTATTATGTTATTTATAGCTGTGAGCCCAGTGGTTTGCTTTGGTGAGCCAGCCCGCCTCAAAAGTCTCATGTCAACACAGTTTTAGCAAAGCGAGTTACCTCGGCTAACGGTGGGAACCCAGTCTAGCTTCCTCTATATAAACAGTCCTGTAGATGCAAATGACGATTATCTTTAATCTATAGAATTTCACCCTATACCCTTGCAATCAATTGGAAATATTCTTGGCTATCAACCCAACACCTGAGGCAGTGGCGGACACCAGGGGGGGGGCGGGGGGCGGCCGCACCTAGTGTCTAATAAAATAAAAAGGGCCAATTAACATAGACGATTTGCACCAAGTGGTTACGTCACGGTTATAATACTTAGGGCGGGGCGCTTGGTAGAGGGGGGAACGCTTTATAAAGGGCCATTTGATGGAGGTTATATTTCATTTTATGTATTGCTAAATCTTGTTTTAACTTTGTTTTCTGAAGAGGATGAAGAGGACAAAGAACTTCTGAACTCTTTCCCAGGTAAAGATCCTCGAATCTATCACAGGTATCTAGTAAAGCAAAATATAATCGAATTTCGATTATGTTGATCGGGCAAGGCGAAATATTTTCGTGACGACTTAACATCTACGTTAAGATGTTAAGTCGTCACGAAAATACTTCGTGCACTTAAATTGGGTAAGACTCGCTACCAATCCCCGTTGATTCGATAGCTCAATGGGTAGAGCGGCGGTCTAGATACTCGAAGATGCGAGTTCAAATCGCGCTCGAGCCAACGAAATTTTCGTTGCTCGATGCAGTGTCAGAATAATATGAAACTGGTTTTTCGTATCTCTGAGGATGGTTTTGAAATAGAATTATATATAAGTCCGGCATTATTAAATTTTACCGTTGTCGTGCTAAGGACACTCGACCATATTTTAAATCTACGGTTGATACTTTTTTCCGGTGGTTTAATACATTTCTTGACTTCAAAATATACGTGTCGGGCATTGATGTTTTCCGTAAAAACCCAATCAGCAGTCGAAAAATATTTACGTTTTAGCTTCTTTATGAGTGATTTTCTTCTAGTAGCAGGAAAGCCTTTCCAGGGCATGTAGGAGTAATTTTCGAAATTTATTTGTTGATTAAAGTGGTATTGGTGCATATTTTTGGAGGCCCGATGAAAAACTGCTTTAATCTGTGCAGCTAACGTCCCCAGGGTTCGAAACTCGTATAGTGTAAATTGCCTGTAAATTTGGCTTGCACAAAACAACCTGATGATATCATGTACCCAAACTTTAGTTCAGGCTACCCTATCTTGGCAAGATTTAGAACAGAACTCCACGCGAAATTTATAATTACATTAATAAAATAAAGTAAAAGGGGCCAATTAACAACAGATGACTTGCACCAAGAGGTCACGTGACCTTAATCCTCTTAAAATAGTAGGTATGGAACTATAAATCTATAATGAAGATACAGAGTTATGTTTTAAGCAAAAATTCGAAAATCTTGTTTTAAAAATTTCAAAAAACTACCTTACACGTTTAGGGCATGGCAATTGGTAGAGGGGGAACGCTTTATAGAGGGCCATTTGATGGAGGTTATATTTCTATTGAGTATAGATGTTCTCTGGTTAAAATATTTATTTTTTACAAGCTTTCGACTGTCAGTCTACAGTCTTCAACGGGTAGATTATAATGAAAGTGATGCGAGGTTTGCAATTACATATACGGTATACACAATGACATAAATGACAGCTATACAAGATTATAGTGGCTATGTTACACGCGAATGATTAGTATACCGTATATGTAATTGTAAACCTCGCATCACTTTCATTATAATCTACCCGTTGAAGACTGTAGACTGACAGTCGATAGCTTGTAAAAAATAAATATTTTAACCAGAGAACGTCTGTACTCAATATGAATAATCCTGGTTTCGCATCAAACATATTTAAAGGTTATATTTCATTTTACGTAGTGCTAAATCTTGTTTTAACTTTATTTTGTCAAGATCGTGAAGAGGAAGAATATAGGCGTGCATATTCGCAAGCTCTCCAAGAAGGTAAAGCAAAAAATTATCGAATTCCGATTATGCTGGTCGGCCAAGACCGAGGCGGAAAGACGTCGCTGATGAGACGTCTTTTAGGATTACCATTCGACAAAAATCAACCCAGTACCACTGGTATTGACGTTAATGTTATCGAGCTAACAGAACAAAATGCAGAAGATCCCTGGAAAAAGAGAGAAGTAAAAGAGTTTATGACCAATGAAGGTGAGGCAAAGTCTGTAATATACAAGAAAACGGCCGAGTACTTTGATAGAGGAGTTCAGAGGAATTTAGAAGGGGATGCGCCAGAGCCACTGAAGCCAGTGATGCCAGTGAAGCCATTGCCAGTGAAGCCATTGCCAGTGAAGCCATTGGCAATGAAGCCATTATTAAGAGAAGAAATATCCAAAATCAAATCGCACAGGTACACTGAACACGACCAGAAAAAACTTCTTCGGGTATTTGTAAGTGACTTTGCTGGACAGTCAATCTATTACGATACCCATGGCTGCTTTGTGAAACCGCATTGTCCTTATGTTTTGGTTCACGACCTTTCTCTGGAGTTTGATAAACCCGCTGTTCCCAAGTTTAAAGACAGAGCTGAAAAGAAAGAGATAGAGATGAACAATCCTCATCTTAATACCAATTTAGATAATTTTACATCATGGTTGAAGTTTCTGCAAGGTTTGGGAGAATACCAAGATCAACAGTTCCCTGATGAAACTGGTCACTGTACTACTGCAGAGGGTCGTAATTTCAAACGTCCACCGGTATTAATAGCCTTAACTCACAGTGATAAGGCGAAAGGCAACGACCCCAAAATACTTAGCGTAAAGAAGAGAATGGAAAATGTCGTGTCTGCAAGTGACTATAAGAATGTCATTCTTGGGGTTTTCCTGATCGACAATACATTGGAAGGCGACGGCGGAGACGACGTGCGAAAGCTTCGTAGAGAGCTTTTTGACTACTCGAATGCAGTCCTTAACCACGAGATTTTAATGCCTGTGAAGTGGCTAAATTTTGAAGTTGCTCTAAGCCAGAAGCTATCACCAGATTGCAAGTATATCCCAGTTAACGAAGCTAAGCGGAAAGCGGAGGCCTGTGGCGTTCGGGAGTTTGATCAAGCTATCAAATTTCTACACCGTCAAGGTGTGGTCGTACACCACAGTGGATCCAGCAAGGTTGTATTGGATCCTCACTGGTTAATGAATCGCTTTACGCAAGTGATCTCCATGCCTGGGCAATTGGATGCCTTGTCCAGGCACGCTCTTGATGTGTTCGAGCAGAAAGGCATTTTGTTTCGAGAATATCTTCAGACGCTGGAAGACAAAGAACTTTTAGAAGAGCTTATGCAAAAGTTTAATTTGATTTGTCCTTGCCAGCACGAGGGAAAGGCAGCTTTTTATGTCCCTTCAGTTGCCCCAGCTATGAAACCAGGAAAAGAGTTGGAAGCTAGCCATGTTCCATCGCTGTTTGTGACATTTCCTCGCAAACTTGTGCCGATGGGCATGTTTACGAAGCTTCAAGTGAGGTTAATTTCTGAGTGTGAAAAGCGCTTTCCCCATCAAGAAGCAACGCCTTCATTCTACTGCAACTACTCCTCGCTTCTGTTTATTATAGACGGCGACGTGTATGATGTTCATTTAATCGACCTCCACGAGTTCATTAAGATTGCCGTTTTTCCAAAACAGGATGGCAACCATTTCAAGTTTGCCAGTCATCTCCTAGCCACTCTGCAAAAGTGCTTGGACGATCTTAAATCTCCAGATCAACTATTATTCAGCATGACCAGCTATGACTTCGAAGTGAAATGTACCTGCTGCTTTGGTAAAGAAGAAGGAGAATGTTCTCGTCATCATAAAGTCCAGTGTCATTCAGACCGCTGTGGGCACCGCCACTTTTGGAAGCTTAGTGACCTTCGGGGATTATACAACGATCCATCCTTTGTAGTTTGCCGGTCGAACAACTCGTCCACGAAGTTTGAGATAAAGAGTGTAAAAATTTGGCTCAATACTGGTAAGTGGCTAATGCTAAAGGTGTTTTTACTTTGCTGGTTTTCAAGTGGTTAGTTGACAATTCTTAAATCATATTTAACAATTAGATAAGTTGTCTAATTATTAAATATAAGTTGTATAATTTATTTTAGTATGATGGTAATATCTCCTTTGTTAATCAGGCTCAGTTGCTGCAATCTGATTAGTTGTTATAATTTCAGTGCAATTGAAATTATAGCCAATTGCAATTGAATGCAATTTGAGCATTAATTGCGTTGTTTTGTAATTGTAGATTGTAATTGCACACTTTGTTTAGCCAGGAGAAACGAACCTAGTTCCTGGGGTTGACCAATTGGCAATTGTACTCGATTTAGGCTATTTTTCCAAATTGATTTTGTGAGCACTATTGAGAAAGCATTTAATAAATTTAATGATTTAAAGTTTGTGAGTTCACGGCAACAAGATTTAAATATCAGTCCTGTTTTCGCTCGCTACTCTGGTTTTGATAAATGAATGCAAAGCCTGAAAGCCTTGTTGAACTGCATTCACAACCCAACGTTTCCACACTCTAGTCTAGTGTCTTCAATCTTGACAATGAGTGCTGGGGTTTTTTCTGTGTTGTTTTATTAACTGACACATGGTTTTATATCATATGTAATTTATTAATTTTTTTATACCTCCACTTTTTTGTGCAAAGTTTAGCCGAGCAGAAGCACGCCCTGAAAACGTCTGAACACACCCTTATAATAATGTGCAACCACAAAACAGGCTACCATTGATATTCAAAAATGCCAAAACCAACATACACTGAACAGCACCCAGGGAAATTTGGGTGCCCAGGACAAAATATCTTGGCCCCCTGGTTATTCCATCTTCTAACACTGATTAAGAGGGTCCGGAGGCATTGTCCCCGAAAGTTTTGAAATCTGAGGTCCCAGAGATGGTCAAATCCTGCATTCTGGAAGTCTGTTGAAAGTTATATCTATATTTATATTTTACTATATTTTTTATTTGGGCTTCCCATTTACTGGGACCCCAGGGCAAATTGCCCCTTCCACCCCTCTGTGGGACCATGACAGCATCGGCGGCTACGGGAATCTAAGACAGCCTAATCACATGCTTGCAGGAAAGAAATATTTTCGTGTTGTTTTGCATTTTGTGAGCTTTGATTTAATGTAAAATTTAAACCTGAAACGCTTCGTTAAAAGTTGCAGGGAATCCTTTTTAACATTTTTATGTTTCCGTGACTGTAGTTTTTCTATGCTTGACACACTTACGACATGTGCGCTATGGTTTGTCGTGGCTCTAGAAAGTTATGCAAACTTTGCATGCTTCATGCACTATTATAGGGATAGAGTTATGTGACCGACTTAATTGTACATAACGGAGATCACTGCTGGAAACATCTATGTTTTCAATACAGTTTTTGCAATGGGTATTAAGGCCTGTTTGCACGGGCGTTTTCTTCGGCGAAATGCGAGAAATTTCGCGCGAAATGAATTAGGTGTATGCGCAGTAAAGATAGACTAGGCTTCACAAGAAACAATTTCGCTTCACCAGTGAGTAGAAGTCAGTTCTAGTCACTGCGAAAGCGGAAAAAGTGGGAAAATTCAATAGAATCGCTCATGTGCAACCCTCCATATTTTGCAGACACAATTTCTCGCGAAGAATTTCGCCGTCGTGGAATCAGGCCTTAACAAACTTAAGTTGTCATTTGTTTCGCTTCTGGTTATTCTGGTTCTTGCAATAGTTGGTCAACTACACGTGCCATCACATAGATGTTTATTAAGAGGCAAAATCTATAGGCAAATTAGGAAACATTTGAAAATCTTGAAGTTTTCTTGAATGTTTCGCTGTTTGTCCAGCTTTGGAAACAGTTCTTACGAAGCAAACATATTTCCCAATAATTTCAAAAACATATTTTGTTTCTCCATGTGATTTTTAGCGGAAACAACTGTTTCTTGTTTGTCCACTTTCGAGACATTGTTTCCTGGTTTGCTCAGCTTTGGGAAACATGCCTAGGAAACAATGTTTCCTGGTTTACCCACCTTCGAGAAACATGGCTAAGAAACAATGTTTCATGGTTTACCCACCTTCGAGAAACATGCCTAAGAAACAATGTTTCATGGTCTACCCACCTTCGAGAAACATGGGTAAGAAACAATGTTTCCTGGTTTGTCCACCTTCGAGAAACATGGCTAAGAAACGATGTTTCCTGGCTTGGCCACCTTCGAGAAACATGGCTAAGAAACAATGTTTCATGGTTTACCCACCTTCGAGAAACATGCCTAAGAAACAATGTTTCATGGTTTACCCACCTTCGAGAAACATGGCTAAGAAACAGTGTTTCCTGGTTTGTCCACCTTCGAGAATCATGCCTTGGAAACAATGTTTCCTGGTTTGTCCACCTTCGGGAAACATGGCTAGGAAACGATGTTTCCTGGTTTGTCCACCTTCGGGAAACATGGCTAACAAACAA